TTAGATTTTGCTCGAGAATTGCAAGAACTAAAAGAAATGAATCGCGAGAGGAGTATTTATAAAACGCTTCGGCGCGTCGGGCGCGCGTGGACTCAGAGATAGTTTCACGTCGGCCGAAATTCTCGGGAATAAGCAAAAAACTTGTCCACTTCTCGAGAGGGAAATTCAATCGTCACACGCTAGAAGACGATGAAGCGTCAAAGAAATTCGAATCGTCAGGAGAATTTAGTCCATCAAAGGATTCAAACTCTCTGATAGCCTCGGCGTACAAGGACAAGCTCGGGACAAAGTTTAAACTGCTCGGACTAATAATCGTGAAGCTCATCACTTGCTCCTCAAGACAACGAGCTGGGAGGCTAACTGTTGGGGTCGGATTTCACCCGCGCTAAGTCCGAGCTAAGACATAACACCTCGGGACGTATCACCAAACCTGCCCGGGGAACGCTTACAAAACAGCTTGGGATCGATCACGAGATAGGCTCGGGATCGATCACCAGATCGGCTCGGGATCGATCACCAGATCGGTTCGGGATTGATTACCGGATCGGTTCGGTAATCAATGACTAAACCGGCTCGGGACATCCTGTATCGCCTCGGGAATGGGACCCGATACACCGCCTTCTACGAGCCGAATTCTCCTCCCGTCCCGAGCCGACTTCACGAGACACCCGAGCCAACTTCGCAAGATACCCGAAGCGAAGAACCAAGATATCCGAGCCGAAGGGAACGATGAGCTCGAACGCAGAAGACCTTCCGAGGCAAGGACTTAGTAAATATTCGCCTTCAGAAGTATCATTTCTAAGCAAGACATCATTTCCGATATACCCGGAAATGATAAGAGAGAATCTAGAAGGATCGACTCAAATCAGGAAATCTTCCAAAGACTCCGAAGAATAAGGAAATTATCTTGATCCGCGATATTCTTGCCGACTTCAAGATAAATAGAAATCTTCCGAGAATATCGCTGGGGAGGCGGTTTATGATCGCTATATAAAGAGACTCAAGGCTCTCATAGAGGGAGAGGCAATATCGCTCTAGAATTTACACTACACAAAGCTCTTACAGCACAAACACCTTTTTCCCTTTTACGATCAAACTCTTGTACGATCAAAACTACTCTTTTCATCAATAGGATCAAGAACACCATCTTTGGTTACAATTGTTTCTGTCGTTCTTTGAGAATTCTCGCAAATCGTATCCCTAAATTAAAACCCTAGACAAATCTCGATTGTGTTAGTTTCGACTTCCACAGGGTCAATTTAAAGATTTTGCACCGGAAATATTGGAACGGATCTTTCCTTATATTTTTGCAAAATATTTGTTAATATCCAAAACCAGAAACTACATTAAATGGTTGCATTATAGATTAAATTCTAACAAATATGGTTTTAATGGTAACAATTTTTTTTAAAAAAACGTTTAATGCTGAAATTTTTTAATTTAGGTTTTGGAAAAAATAATCATTTGAAAATCAATTCGACTCAATTTAGCAAAAAGTAATAAACAATTAAAATAAAATTTTATTCCAATATAATTCTTAGTTTTTAGTTGTTTATAAATTTTATTTGTTTATTTAGAATTCTCTAGATATTTAAAAAAATAAATTGCCTATTCTCTAGATATTTAGTTATTTAAAAATTTAATTGTTTAAAATTTAATTGTTTAAAATTTTAGTTGTTTAAAATACTCAATTTAGTTGTTTAACATTTTAAGGGAGCTATTTTGTTTAGGCATATTATCTAGATATTCAAAATTTTAAAATTTGCCTAAACCAAGGGATGTACAATCTTTTATAATATTTTATAGTATTTTCATTTTTTGAAATTATTTTCTAGAAAATTAAGGTATATATTGTCTTGAATGTTAATCAAAATATATTAGATGAGTCATTTTAATCTACTGTTGAATAATTAGTGTTACCAAAAAAACATTTGATCGATTTCATGGCTTAATTATTTTATCAAAACTTTGAAAGGTTATGGTGGTGCAACCATACAAGCGGCAAAGCGGATGGTTGTAGTGGTGTCGGGTCAAGTTTTCCTCAGACGGGTTATTTGTTATTTCTTTTTTTTTTTTATGACTAGGAGGTTCTTAGCCCGTAGGCCCGTACATCCCCCAAGGGTGAGGCCCAAACCATGCAATATAACTCCCCTTTGGAGAGCAGACCCCTCCCAACGTGAATCGAACCCGTGACCTCCAAAATACGCTTAACTGCGGGTTATTTGTTATTTCTTATATGATAATATATAATTTTTACTTATAAAAAGTTTCAAAATATAATAAATATTAAAAATATAAATTAAAATTAAATTCTTATATATATTTTACTTTATTAAAAGGTAAATATTATAATTATTTAAATTTTATAAAACGTTTAAAACATTTGTAATATTTGAACTCTATAAGTATTATATATATATATATATATATATATTATGGAAACAATTTGAAAGCAAACTTTTAATTTCACGGGACATGGTTAGATGGTGGACGGATTTGGGTCGATATTAATACGAGATGGTATAATACGGGTGAAATCCTAGATATAACAATCAAAATACAAGTATATCATCTTAAACACTAAACAAAAGAAACAATATTATCAAAAAATATAATTTAAAGTTTAAATTTTTTGTTATAAAAAAAGCGATCCGCGGTGTACCGCGGGATATAATCTAGATTTTAACTTAATGAATTGTATGTTATCGTTCTTATATTTTAAAACGGTAAACCTCAAACATAGTAACTGTATACTAAATCATATATAGATATAAGAGTTATACATTTAGAAAATTCAAAACATTATGTCATATATATACTTAATATACTAAAAAAAATTACATTTTGATTTTTTTTTTTTAAATATAGCCCGCGGTGTACTGCGGGTTAAAATCTAGTGATATACATAGGAACCAATAACTAGTATGTATTTTGCAGACTAACATAAAGCATATATTTATAGTAATAACAGATATCCTATAGTTGGTTATAAAATTTCACATGTTCATCTGTCGAATCTCTATAGAAAACCGACGTATAATCTCTATAGTTTCTACACGTATAGTTTTTGTCCAAAAGAAAAAAAAAAAAGTTTCTACTTTTTGTCCATGTATATCTTTAACCCATCGTATCATATTCATAGATGGTTTACAGCATTCTCGATCTATTTTTCTATTCTAAACAAAACTTTTAATTATACAATTTTCTCACTTTCACCTGAATAATCAATTCACTATTGAATATAGTAATTATGTTTTAGTTAATACTTTAAAAGAAAAGTTATAAATTAAAGTCTATAGAAAATACGTTTGATAAACATTAACAACTATGTAACTTAAGTAAAGGCACTTATAAATGTATGACTATCTTGCTTTTAAAACATCGCACCCAAAACTCAAAACGATTAGCAAACAAATTACTTCTATTTCTTTTTGTTAAAATTTCTATACAAAATGAAGACAATTTTCTTCTTTATAACTCTTGCTGTTCTTGTTTCATCCTGTAAGTTTATTCTCGTTATATACAATAGTTTATAGTCTAGAATAATATATTAATATAATAGTTTCATTTTCTTTTGAATTATTTTTAGGTGCATCAAATATTATGACAAAATCTATTCCAGAAGAAAAAATTCAGTTTTCCAATCCTCCATTAAGCTCTGATATTGATCCAGCAGACGAACATGTTGGACACTCTCCCGACGACATGAAAATATTTTTTTGTCAAGAGTGTGCATATCATTGTCTTGAGAAAAGAAAGAATGTATTTGGTTGTGAAAATTCTATTTGTCGTTGTACTTTCGACGACATTCTGTAAGACATTACTTTTTTAAAAATAATTTATTAATAAAATTAAATTCTTATATAAAAAAAATTAAATTCTTATAATATATTATATTTATTTGCTGGTTTTATTTTTTTTCATTTTCCACTTATTTTAATCCAATTGTTATGTATACATGCATTTGCATGAAATGTTTTATTAGGTTATTGAACCTAACTAAATGAATTATCTAAACTAAAAATTATAATGATATACAATATATAAAAATAGACATAATAGAGAAAATGAAAAAGTATAAAGGCAAAACTAATTAGGGTTTATTTCAAAATCTAAAGATCTTCTTTGGTTACCGTAAAATAAAATCAAGATGCTAAATATGCTATTAAATGGATTTTTGTGATAGGAATCGTTGTAAAGTTTTTGGGTCAAATCACTGAATTTTTAACTGTTTAAGGATGACTCCGACGGTAATTAAAAAAAATTCTCTCTAAAATTATTGATAGAAGATTTGAATTTTCATGGAACGTTAAAGGATGATACTTTTTGTTAGGAGAAAACGAAAAAATAAGCGATTTAAAGAACTACTTTTAATTTTAAATATTTGATCATTCACATTCGGACGATTCATATACGATCTCTACATATTTGGACTAGAGAACATGTTTATTTTATGCCAAAAGAAAAATATATTAGATAAATCACAAAAGTTCACGTGACCAATGTTTCACACATGAAGATATGCATTTATTTATATTTGGTGAAATAGAAAATAATTAGAACGAAAGGAAAAGAACAGACGAAACTATATGAATTTTTTTATGTTATGAAGTAAGATAACTTAGAGAATTTACAATTGTTGGTGTTTATTTTATATAAACATGTTTATTTACATAAACATTTGTATTTATGTAAATACCCTTCTACTTGTGCAAATTTCATCACGTCTCTTGGTTACGTTTATACCGATACACCGGTTGAGAGAAGAGAAGCATCTCTTGGTTCAAACATCGCTTCATTAACATATAAGAGACGTAACGATGTAGAGAGACGGAGACAGAGAGACAAGAGAGAAGAACAATACAAGAGAAACAAAGGAGAGAAAGATTGGGATTGATTCTCATCTTCTTCTTCTCCAAATCAATTTCAGAGAATCTCAAAGTAGAGTTTGCTAGGGTCTCTGTACGGTGTTAAAACAGAGATCGATAGTTGTATCCTAAAGATAGAAGCCTACACAAAGCTACGTACACCATAGTAGGGGCTAAATTCTGTCTTAGGCGATTGCCAATTGCAAGCCTCTATCAATCTATACGTTGTTCTTATCAAGAAAAGAAGAGACCGTAAAGTACGTTTCAGTTCTGTAACAATTGTTTTTCTATTTGTTACTTATTCTATAAAGTGAACGTATTTGTTTATGGGTATTGATTTGCATCTATAATCTTCGATCAACAATCTAAGACAGAATTTACTTGTTGTTTTGAAATTGATAGATGGATCAATCTGCTGGGAATGTGAAAAATCACATTGAGAAGCCTTTTGTTTTCAAAGGAGTGGATTTCAAAAGATGGCAGCAAAAGATGATGTTCTATCTCACAACTTTGAATCTGGCACAATACTTGACTTCCGACGCACCGGAATTACCTGTTGAAGGAGACATTTCGGATGAAGTCATCAAAGCATCGGAGACATGGTCACAGAATGAGTTTTTGTGCAAAAACTACATTCTTAATGCCTTGGATGATTCTCTCTATGATATTTATCAGATTTTCCAAACTCCAAAACAGTTGTGGGAATCATTAGAGA